GATCATGGGACACCACCTGGGGGAAAAGACAAGTCGCAGTGAAACAGGCTGTGAGGCTTTCCACAGCTGCTCCCCCCAAAGATTAGACAGACAGATGGACAGACATGCCTCTTTCGTGTCCTCTCTTCACAGGTCTCTAATATTTAACACAAGTTCATTATACTTGGGAGGTTGAAGGACCTCGAATGTGGGGGTCCTCAGGGAGGAACAGGTTTAGGAAATTGGGACCAGAATCCCAAGTGGCCTAAGGGGGTGAGAGGGCTTTTGAAAACTGAGGGGGAGTCAATCCTGCCTCCGCTGCTGAGGACACCATGCCCTGTGGCAGAGAAGCCTTCACACTGCGGGGAGCACCGAGGTTTTCCTGCTTCCAGTTTGGCTTACAAAAGCCTCCTGCCTTTCTTGGGAAGGCTCCGTTCCCGGCAACCACGGTTGCCCATGCCCGCCAGGCACGGTGGTTGTGTAAGAGCCTGACAGAGTGGCCCAGAACACCACCAGCTCCTCCCCAGCCGCCTGGGGAAGGCCTTCAAAACAAACGAGATCCTTTCACATAGATTCCTCCTGCGGCTTCATGCTGCGCCCTAGTCTGGCCGCACCGACCCCTCCCTGCTCCGGAGCCCACCTAGCACGCTGCTGTCCCTTCCCGGCCTGGAACTGTAGACTCTGCCTTGGCTGTGGTCTGGCTAGCAAGCAGCTCGCTGCTGTCAGTTGATTTCCATTCCTGAAGGGCTGGCGCTCTCAGCTCGCCTGTTCCTGAGGGTTAGAGAGTTTATCTTTGACTAGCGGGAGAAAGGAGAACTGATTCAAGAGATGTTTCAGCAGCAGCGTGCACTGACTCTGGGCGGGTGAGTGGCCAGTGACCTCTGTTTTACATGTTGGTGAGACAACCCAGGGGAGAGAGATGATTGCGGTGGGGAGTGGGGTGGGATGTCCTCCAAGTCTTAATTGCTAATTTATTATTTTTTAAGATTTTATTTATTTATTTATTTTTAAGTGTTTTATTTATTTGACAGAGAGAGAAGATCACAAGCAGGCAGAAAGGCAGGCAGAGGGGGAGGGGGAAGCAGGCTCCCTGCTGAGTAGAGACACCCCCCTTTCCCATGCAGATGTGGGGCTGGATCCCAGGACCCTGAGATCAAGACCTGAGCTGAAGGCAGAGGCTTAACCAGCTGAACCACTCAGGCATCCCTATTTATTTTTTTTAAATTTTATGTTTTAAGTACTCTCTCCACCCAACTCGAATTTACAGCCCCGAGATCAAGAGCCCCACGCCGCCCTACCAACTCAGTCAGCCAGGTGCCCCACTAAACTGCTTATTTTGCAGAGGTGGCTCCTGCAGTGATAGCTCCTTTGCTCCCGGCCTCAGCGTTGTTGGCAGAGCCACCAGGCGGCCATGGGGCTGAAATGTCAGGAGCGTCTCCTCTAGTTGCTGCCAGAGCTTGCATTAGTGAGAGGTTAGCTTTTCCTGCGCCCCGAGAGTGCAGCGTGCTAAGTGCCCATTGCAGATCTGTGAGCTGTAATCCCTGTTTTTCATGTGAGAAAACAGGCATGGGGATGAGGTCCCCCCATATTAATTCCCAAACACCCCTGCTCCAGATACAGGAAATGGGCTGGGGTAGGGAGGGTCATTCAGTCCCTGGGCTTAGGAACACTGGCCCCTGCCCCTTAACAATACTGGCCTCCTGTTGTCATGGCCACACCCCCCTGCCCCCGGCCTTTGTTCTAGCTCTTTCCTCAGTATGACTCAGTCAGCCCCTTTACCCCCATACCACTGCCCTGTTCCCCTTTTCCTGCCCTACTTTTTCTTCCTTCATAATGCTTAGCCTATTAAAGTGTGACATAGGATTCCTTTATGAAGTTCATTATTTTCCTGTCTGTCTCTTCTACTGGAGGAGAAGCTCCATGAGAGCAGGGACTCACTCTCCCCATCACAGCCATATTCCCAGGGTCTGGAACAGGGCCCATGCATAGGTGCTCAGATGTGTTTGTTGCATGAGTGAATGTTGCACTACAGAGAGTTTGTTTTGTCTGTGTTGTCATCACTACACAGAATAGGGCTAAGGAAATAAATTAGATAAAGTTGGAATTTGGAGTAGCAAAGAACTGGAGAGGTCAGGTTAGTGGACCTGAGTGAAGTTGGAGGTGATGGCAGAGAACCGTGGTCCTCAAAGCCGGGGGACAGGACGAGTCTGTCGTTCAGAACCTACGACTCCCCTGGGCTATGAGGGCAGGCGGATGTGGCTTGACAGATAGGGACAGAGTGGGGTAGGCGTCTCTTTGTCAGTAACTCGGTGACTTTGAGGCAGACCCTCCTCACTCCAGGCCCAGCTACAGATGCCACGTCTGTGGCCGCCCAGGCTTAAGCACCTGACCCAAGCACTGTCAGCTGCTCCTGTGGGAAAGCTCGCCCCTTCGGTAAAGTGGAAAGCCTGTTTCGGAGCTCAGAGTAGTGTGTATCTGTTCAGACACACTTGTGTCTGAGAAACTCCCAAAGGCCTGGTCTTGGTTGATGGCTTTGTTCACTTGAGTCAGCCCCTGCAGAACCAACACTTCATTCCATTTTTGCACAGACTCACGCATTCCCCAGATTGGGGTTCTCTCTTCTCTGTCCCCAGAGTCCTGGCCCCTCGCTCAGGCGCTTGGCTTAGACCATCACCGCAGCCTCCTCCCAGCTACCTGACCCTCTAGTTTCTTCCCTTCCAGGCTGTTCCCCGCACATGTGTCTGGCCTGTTAGTCTCCCCACCCCTAAAGTCCCTCCATGACTCACGCAAAATGAAGTCTGAGCCATCAACATGTCCTTTCCCGACCAGCAGCTCCCGTCACATCACACAGCACTATACACACGTGGTGCTCGGAAGTCCCCAAGCCCACCCTTAGGTTCGGCGATTCTCTAGAAAGACTCACAGAACTCAGCAAAGCTGTTAGATTCATGGTTTCAACAAAAGGGGAAAGAATCAGTCAGCAAGGGTGAGGGGTGCACCAGGCAGAGTCTAGGAGAGAGCAGGGGTGAGCTTCCAGTGGCCTGTCATACGACAGCACTTAATTCTCCCGGCAACACCGTGTGACAGCACACGTGGAGTACCGCCCTCCAAGGAAGCTCAGCTGCGCCTCGGCGTCCAGGGTTTTTACTGGGGGTCAGTCACGTAGGCCGGAGTATCTGTGTGACTGACTCATTACTCAGTCTCTGGCCCCTGCAGAGGTCAAGCTGGCAGGGCTCGCAGGTTATCTCACCGGAACCAGAAAAGGGCCAGTCTTTTCTTTGATGTGTAGGGTTTGGATAACCCAGGCCTTCTGAGTGAACCCTTTACTGCATGTACAAACACACAGCCCCTCCAGCCACACCAAATCACTTAGCACCCCAGAGACACACCTGTGTCAACCTCTCTGCCTCATCCAGGCCCTTCCTCCCACCCACCTGACTAACCCTGACCTCGCATCCTTCCACGCTCAGCACAGGAAAATGCTCCCTTATTGACCCCTCCCCACCCCCATCCTCCGCCATCCCTACCTAGAGCCCTGGTACTCAAGTTCACATTTCCCCTGTCTCTGACTACCTCAAGGGCAAGGGCCATGGCTTAGGTGACCTGTCTGGGCCTCTCACTCTCCCAGTTTATGAAATGGACCTGCTTTTGGAGTAAGTGAGCTACAATATATCTAAAGCGCATAGCACGGGGCTGAACCAATAGTGTTTGCCCCGTTAGTAGATCGTTAGCATGTGTAGTATCGGGAACTGATGAGGCGTTTAATAAATGGTGAGCCATTAAACTGGAAAAGCCCCCCCAGACTCTTGTTTTTCTTGTAGTTTTTTAATAGTTACAGAGAGCTTTTTATAAATGCTCTTGTGGAAAAATTTAGCTGCAACTTATTAATAGAAGCTCTCTTGGGCTGAGGTCTTGAGAACAGAGACATGTAGGCGTAGCTGTTCAGATGCCTTGGGCTGCCAGTAACAGCAAATGTGGCTTGCCATGGTACTCAAGTGAGGAGGTGTGCGCTCTCCTGCAAGGTGGGGTCTGGCGCAGGGCATTGTGGGGTCCCAGTGGCCCGGGAGCTCAGACATTGCTGTAGTGCGAATGAAGGGACCTTTCCCAGGAGTCCCCAGAAGAGCTTTATAAAAATGCCACAGCCTAGGGCCCTGCCACACGCCACCTCCCTCTCCCCCGCCAAAGCGACTGCCCCCATCAGTCTGGCAGCAGTGTACCTTCCAAACACCCACCCCTGGAGGTGCTGATGGGCAGCCAGTTGAGATCTCGCTTAAAGCAGGTGGCCCCAGGGGCAGAGTGGACCACACTGAGGTCATCTCCCTAGAAGCATGGGTCTTTGGAGAAGAAGGAAATATTGGGGTCTGCCAGGAAGGCAGAGGGTGCCGTAGAAGTTGGGGAGGGGCAGCCACGCAGGGTTCCTCTGGCCCAGGGCACGAGAGGATTCCTGAGGACACTTGAAGAAGTAAAACTGGCCCAGAAGAGAGAGGGAAGAGGAAACAGGACTTCAGGAAATAGGATGGCTTCCCTGGGCCAGGCACTTGGCTTCTCTGTCATCACCTTGTTTATCCTTCCCAGTGGAAGGGGCTCATCCTTGTTAGAATTGGGGAAACAGGCATAGAGAGGCTCAGGAGTAACTTTCCCAGGACCCATGACTTGTAGCAGAAGCAGAGTTCAAACCTGGTCTTTCCTTTATGTCTGGAGAACCAGCTTTGTGCCTGAGAACAGGGAGCTGTCTTGCTGCTCAACTGCCTGAGCTGTTTGAGACGAAGGGAGAATAAGCTGTGCCGGGTATGGGATGGAGGCTGGGGTACACCGGGGCGGCCATGAGCCAGGGCAGGGCTACGTGCCCTGCGACCAGATGGACCATTTTGATGGAGTAGAAATAAAGAGGGGTTTACAGCCCATGGCCAGGTTCAGGGCCCACCGTGGGGTAAGCATCGACAAGTCCGTCTGAGCTTCTCTTTTTTCCCGTCTGTGCATACGGACCATCATCCCAACCTCCCTGTAGGACCGTTGTGAAGTTAGCTGCGGGTCTGGTGGCTAAGGAGAACATACTGGGCACACCAAGCTGCCTGGGAATCACCCTGGTGTCTGCACTGGAATTGGCATTTCTCGTCATGCGGCCTAGGAACCCACTGAGCAGTGGCAGCCAGCCGTGAATTCGTGTTAAATTTGAGGTCAGCCACAACCCCCAGGTGTCTGAGAACTTACAGCCGGGTGTTCACAGGCCCTCCTGGACTCCCTTCTCTTCCCTCACCAGAGCCAGCACAGGGCCCTGTGAGCATGTGTGAATCCTCTGGGTCCACGATCACTTTCCCTCTCCCTCCCCACTCTGCAGCTCAGCTGCAGATGGCTGGGAGGATGGGGGGTGCCCCACATGCACATTCTCTGTGCCCTGCACCTGTAGGTGAAGGAGGCCACCTCCTGAGTCCCTGGAGAAAAATCTCAGGGGAATTCTAAGTTAGCTGACTTAGAAGGAAGGCAGGGGGACGCTCCAGCAGGCCTCCATCCTCCTAAGTGGTCAGCGGTGTGCACTGAAGGGGCCTAATGCCCTGCCATAGAGCCCTGCTTTCTGGGGCCTCTCTCTGAGGTCCAGAAAGATGCTCAGGGCGGTACTCAGATCAGTCCACCACCTCCCATTTGGCATTCAGCAGGGAATCCTGGGGAGCAGGTCCTGAAGGTGGTGGGGTTTTTTTGTTTGTTTGTTTTAAGATTTTATTTATTTGATAGAAATCACAAGTAGGCAGAGAGAGAGGAAGGGAAGCAGGCTCCCTGCCGAGCAGAGAGCCTGATGCGGGGCTCGATCCCAGAACCCCAGGATCATGACCTGAGCCGAAGGCAAAGGCTTTAACCCACTGAGCCACCCAGGTGCCCCTGAAGGTGGTGTTTTGTGCTTCTAGTCCCACTCTCCAGAAGTGCCTTGGTCTGACCTCCTCAGGGGCTCTTTGACCCTCTCCTCTAGGGCAGCAAATACTCCTGCTGGTGCTGAATGTGGCTGTGCCTGTCCCAAGCACATCTGGTTCCTAGTACGTGACCCCCAGGGCTTCCGGAGCTTTTTCCTCTCTAGCTTAATAGGGCCTGGCTAGGTTACAGCAGGGAGCGGGGTGGCGGTCACATGTTCTCGTTACCCAGTCCCGCCACCCTCCAGACGGCTCCACCTTGGCCATCAAGGTTGCCTTTCCCAAACTGCCATCTGATCATGTGACTTACTCTGCTTTAAAAATCTTCCCAAGGTTGCAGACCGACGGATTTGCTTTGGGAACCAGCGTAGCTGCCGCCACCAGAATCTGGAGCCATGAGCGGGTTTAATTTTGGAGGCACTGGGGCCCCCACAGGCGGGTTCACATTTGGCGCTGCAAAGACGGCGACAACCACACCTGCTACTGGGTTTTCTTTCTCTACATCTGGCACTGGTGGGTTTAATTTTGGGACTCCCTCCCAGCCGGCGGCAAGTACCCCTTCTACTGGCCTGTTCTCGCTCACGACCCAAGCTCCAACGACACAGACCCCAGGATTCAGCTTTGGAACCACAACTCCTGCTACGGGAGGAACTGGATTCTCCTTAGGAATCAGCGCGCCGAAGCTCAATGTGAGCAGTGCGACGGCCACCCCAGCCGCGGCACACGCTGGCGGCTTTGGGCTGGGCAGCGGCACCCTCACCAATGCCATCTCGAGCGCTGTCACCTCCAGCCAGAGCACAGCCCCCACCGGCTTCGTGTTTGGCTCCACCACCACCTCTGCTGCTCCGTCCACCACTCCGGGGGGATTCTCCTTCACAGGGGGAAGCACATCCCAGACCGGGACCTCAGGTTTCAATATCGGCTCCTTGGGGACTTCGGCCCAGCCCACGGCGCTTGCCGGCTTGCCCTTCACGGCCGCCCCTCCAGCTGCCAGCGGAGCGGGAGCCACACAGCCGGCCGCTCCTGCCCCCACTGCTGCCACCACCAGTGCTGGCCCCACGCTGTTCTCCTCGCTGGCCACCGCTCCGACCTCATCTGCCGCCACGGGGCTTTCCCTTTGTCCCCCTTCAACCACGGCCGGAACTCCCGGGGCCGGAACGCTGGGCTTCAGCTTAAAGGCCCCTGGAGCAGCTTCTACTGCCTCCACAACAGCATCCGCCACCCCCGCCACTGCCACCGCCGCCGCCACCACCACAACCACCACCACCACTGGCTTCGCCTTGAATCTGAAGCCACTGGCACCAGCTGGGATCGCCAGCAACGCACCAGCTGCCGGGACCGCGCCGCCGGGCCCCAGCGCCGGCACTGGGGCGTCCGCCAGCCCTGTGATGACCTACGCCCAGCTGGAGAGTCTGATCAACAAGTGGAGTCTGGAGCTGGAGGACCAGGAGCGGCACTTCCTGCAGCAGGCCACCCAGGTCAACGCCTGGGACCGCACACTGATCGAGAACGGGGAGAAGATCACCACCCTGCACCGCGAGGTGGAGAAGGTGAAGCTGGACCAGAAGAGGCTGGACCAAGAGCTCGACTTCATCCTGTCTCAGCAGAAGGAGCTGGAAGACCTGCTGAGCCCTCTGGAGGAGTCGGTCAAGGAGCAGAGCGGCACCGTGTACCTGCAGCACGCTGACGAGGAGCGCGAGAGGACCTACAAGCTGGCGGAGAACATCGACGCCCAGCTGAAGCGCATGGCCCAGGACCTCAAGGACATCATCGAGCACCTGAACACGTCCGGGGGTCCGGCCGACACCAGCGACCCGCTGCAGCAGATCTGCAAGATCCTCAACGCGCACATGGACTCGCTGCAGTGGGTCGACCAGAACTCGGCCCTGCTGCAGAGGAAGGTGGAGGAGGTGACCAAGGTGTGCGAGGGGCGTCGCAAGGAGCAGGAGCGCAGTTTCCGGATCACATTCGACTGACGTGCCAGCCGCCTCCGGGGCCCGTGCGCTCCCAGGGCGTTGGGGGGCAGCGGGGGCACGCAGTTATTGTCTAGCGTTTGGTTGCAGTGAATACCTGTTTGTTCCTTTCTTTCATGTGACCGTGCCGTTGAGAACAGTTCTGTGGTTTGCTTCGCATTAGTGAAAACGCCAAGTATTCTAAGCGCTCTAGTCTGGGCAGCAGCCTCGTGGGCGTGGTTTCTTTGCCTATCTTTTGTGTGTCTCAGACCTCTTTCACAACCACCACGCACCCATCCTTCTTGCTCCGGCCAAGTGCCAGAAGAGAGTGCTGGAGAGGTTCCCCCAAAACCGTCTGTCTCCCAGCCAGGGTCTGCCGAGCGGCCACTCGGCCCAACATATAGTTGTAGGTGCCGTGAAGAGTCCGTCCGAGGAGACGGCGTCCTGGCGTAAGGCGTGAGCTGTGGAGACTGACCGCCAGCGCGAGAAAGGGGCTTGTGAATAGGACCAGCCGTGGGATGTAGAATTTCAGAGGAGAAAGGACAGTCAGATGAGGGACTTGAATGCAATATTGAGAAAAGGGTCAGACTCGCACCAGGAGGTCTTTACCTTGCCTGGCTGACACGCCGCCCCATCCTCCAGGTGTCCTTATCTTGGGCCTCACCTCCAGGAAGCCCTCTCAGCTGCCCCAGAGCTGGTCCGGTCCGGTGGCTGTCCTGAGGCCCCAACAGCACACGCAGCGTGTGCATGTCTTGTGCCGACTGTTAACTTCTCTGCCTCACTATTGAGTGTGAGCCCCTATGGGCAGGGACTGTGTTTCTTGACCCCTTTTGTGTCCTCAGCACAATCCCTGTCACATTTTCGAAAGAACAGTGGAGATGAAACATGGCATCAAATGTTCATCCACAAAATGCCTGCTGAAATGGCCACGAGTGCCAGAGGTGGCCACAGACTTGGGTTGGAACTTGCCAGTGCTGGAGCAAACCTAGTCTGTTAACAGTGAGAGATCAGTGGTGTCCAGAAGACAGAAGCCAACCGGTTGTTTCCTGAATGTGTTGTATTTGTCTTTATACTTGGCTGCAGTGTCTGAGATACTATGACTGTATGTTGCATTCCTAAATAAAATTTACTGTGGAGCAAAAAAGGTGCCATTGGTGTGTATCACTTAGAAAGCTGGGGGAAAAGAGCAGTTCCAGAAGACTACCATCAAGTGGGGTGCCGTTTGTCTGGAACTCGGAAACCAGAACTAGACAATACATCATTGAGGCACACACGCACACAGATGCAGGTCGTGGGTTCGTCTGGTGCTGATGGCAGAAAGCCGCGCATGAGGGAATGTGTGCCGGGGATGTTCTGGCTTCCATCGTAGACACACATGCATGTCCGTTGCTCCTCCATCTTCCCTAAGGCGTTCGCTCGGAGGCCACAGGTGCCGTCGGCAGCATTCCTCTCCATTTCCTGGGGCGAGCTGGAGGAACTAGTCATGCTTCAGAGGTGGGAAACAGGCGAAGCTGGGATGTGGAGTTGTATGGGGGTCATTTCCAGATACTGGCCCAGCATTCTGGCTCTTCCCCTGGCTCCTGTGGGCGAGAATGATGCCAAGCTCTTGGATCTCCTGCTTTCAGCCTCTGCCTCGCTAAGCCGTGTGTTTGCTAAGGAATGCCCAGAGCTAATTCCTGGAGATGGATGGTCCATTTTCCCAAAGTCCTGGTCATAAGTCATTTCCTTGGACCATCTTTGTCTTCGGAGAACAAGTGTCCTGTCCAAGAAGAAGCCATAGGAGAGGGAGGGGAACAGAGGAGGGGGGAGACCCCACACTAACCCACTTGATCCTCTCTGAAATCTCCTCTCCCTGGGCACTGGCCCTTTGTGCAGTCTGAGCCTTGACTAACTGCAAGACCCACATCTGCTCCCTCTCCCTAAAGGGAGGAGAGATGGAGCAGCCTCAAGTCATCCTGGAAAGTAGGAGGTCATTTATATTTTATCCACATTGATTCATTCAACATCTAGGTTTTTTGTTGTTTTTTTTTCCCCAAAGATTATTTTTTTTATTTAACAGGTAGAGACCACAAGAAGGCAGAGAGAGAGGAAGGGAAGCAGGCTCCCTGCTGAGCAGAGAGCCCGATGTGGGACTCGATCCCAGGACCCCAAGATCATGACCCGAGCCGAAGGCAGAGGCCTTAACCCACTGAGCCACCCAGGCGCCCCTCAACATCTAGTTTTGGAGCACCTATATACCAGATCCTGATCTGACACTGGGGTCACAAAAATGGAACGGTGTTCCTGCTCACTCGGAGGTTGCTGCCAGGGGCTAAAAACTTCTTGATTGCATTTCCAATGTTATCTAATTGACCTGTTTTGCGTATTGAACAATAGTAATGCTTAACTGCCTTCACATAGGTACTTCTTTAAATGGAAATACTGAGATCACTTATTCCCATGGCCTGAGGGACCATGGGCACCCCACTTTGGAAAACACAATTATAAATCAGGACGATGGTCAACGGTGCTCTTGCACCCTGGGGAACATGGCCCCAACAGGCTTCCCGGGAGCACCAGGGAGGGGTCCCCGGGATTGCCAAAGGACCGGCGGCACACGGGGTGCCACCCTGCAGATGATGGCTTCGTTGTAACTGCAGTTTCCCTTTCCAGGAAGAAAACACAGATGCGCTTCTTTGCTGGTCCCGACAAACGGCCTCTACTTAAGTTCCTCTTCATTAAGTAGTATGAAGACAGCAAATGTGGTGACTAAATTTGGCGGCAGAGGCTTTTAAAGGCGAATCTCTCAGTAAGCGGTTACTGCATTTCTTCTCCCAGCTGAGGGACAAGAGTGGCAATTCGATGTATGGTTATGGCTTTTCTTTCCATCTCAAGGAAGCCCTTAAGTGATTCTAGAGCCCAGCTGCTTCCCCAGGATTATGCCTCTGCCTGTCGGGCGCAGCTTGGATCAGAAGGGTCAGGTGTTTCAAACAACTAAAGATTTCCAGAGCCACAGCTCCCTTCATCTCCTAGCGGAGGTTGAAATGAATGATGCCCAAGCAGTGGTGTGCTGGTAAACCCAACAGTCGGCTCTCCGGGGTGGGGGTAGGGGAAAGCCCTGATGGCTGGCAAATGCCGATGCCCGATACCCCCCGATACCCGTGATGTAGAGGCCCTCTCCAGGGTTGACTGCCAGCTACGGATGTGAGGTCACGGACCAGGAGTTTGGGAAATTGACACCTACAGATATAATTGCTTCTCCTCAAGAGTATACATAATAGTAAAATGTAATCGGATGTTTGGGAAATGGTGAGTTTTGAGTATTTAAATTTTTTTTTTTTTTAAGATTTTTTATTTATTTACTTGACAGATCACAAGTCAGCAGAGAGGCAGGCAGAGAGAGAGGAAGGGAAGCAGGCTCCCTGCCAAGCAGAGAGCCCAATGTGGGACTCGATCCCAGGACCCCGAGATCATGACCCGAGCCGAAGGCAGAGGCTCAACCCACTGAGCCACCTAGGCACCCCTAAATTTGTTTTTCATAAGACTAATCATTAAATGTGTATAATTTTTTTTTTCAAGAATGCCATGCAAAACAAAAACCAAAGATCTTAGAAATCAGTCAGCTTGGGGCACCTGGGTGGCTCAGTGGGTTAAAGCCTCTGCCTTCAGCTCAGGTTATGATCTCAGGGTCCTGGGATCGAGCCCCACATTGGGCTCTCTGCTCAGCGGGGAGCCTGCTTCCCTTCCTCTCTCTCTGCCTGCCTTTCTGCCTACTTGTGACCTCTGTCAAATAAATAAAATCTTAAAAAAAAAAAAAAATCAGCTTTTGTGCACTGCTAGGACCCAGCACACCACAGCTCCCAAGTGTTCAATCTACCTTGAAATTACTTGGGTGCTTGAAAAGTCCGCCCTCAGACTCTCAGGGCAAGGGCTTTCTGCAGAACTTCCCAGGAACAAAATCCCTCAGCCTCAAAAACCACGTTGGTTTCTGGACACCAGCCAGCTGCCAGCCAGACTTATCTGTCCCACACTGCCCCTGTGCCTGTCCCACAGCCCTCATGCAGTGGCACTAATCACTTCAAACATCAGTGACTCACCTAGGCACGCACCTCACGTCCAGACGGCATCCTGGTTCAACCCCATGACCTCCACAGGTTTCCCCGTGGCCAAAACCAGACCTGGTGTGCTGCTTTACCAGGCTCGGGCCCAGCCTGATGCCGTGGGGTCACATAAACCCCCAGGTTCTAAGGACACAAACCCCAAATCCACAGAGCAAAGACCCTTGATATCACTCAAATGCAAAGTAGGCTTTTTTTGAGGCACCTGGTGGCTCGGTGAAGTGTTCTAACTCTTGAGCTCACCTCAGGTCTTGATTCCAGGATCTTGAGTTCAAGTCTCTCATTGGGCTCCGCACTGTGCATGGAGCCTACTTGGAAAAAAAAAATTTTGAGACAATCCAGGAAATTGGACTTTAATGCCATTTTTAAATGTAATTGGTATTGTAGTTTGTCTGTTTTTTGTTTTTGTTTTTTTAAGATTTTATTTATTTATTTATTTGACAGATTACAAGTAGGCAGAGAGGCAGGCAGAGAGAGAGGGAAGCGGGCTCCCTGCTGAGCAGAGAGCCTGATGTGGGGCTCGATCCCAGAACCCTGAGATCATGACCTGAGCCGAAGGCAGAGGCTTAACCCACTGAGCCACCCAGGCACCCCTGGGTTTTTTTTTTTTTTTTAAAGCAAATAAGTTCTAATATTTTTTTAAAGCAGAAGTTGGTTGACAGGGTTCCTGGGTGGCTCAGTCGTTAAGCGTCTGCCTTCAGCTCAAGTCATGATCCCCGGGTCCTGGGATCAAGCCTCACATCTGGCTCCCTGCTCAGCGGGAAGCATGCTTTTCCCTCTCCCACTGCCTCACCTGTGTTCCCTCTCTCATTGTGTCTGTTAAATAAATAAATAAAATCTTTTTTAAAATTAAAAAAAAAAAAAAGTTGGCAAACTACAGTCCCACTTCCTGTTTTTGTAAAGAAAATTTTATTGGAACACAGCCATGCCAGTTCATTACACATGTTGTGGTTACTTACTCGGAGGGCAGAGTTGAGTAGGCAAGATGGAGACAGTGTGGCCCCCAAAGCCCCAAATATTTATAGAAAACGTTTGTATACCTCTGTTGTAGAGAAACATCCTGAAGTATTTACCTACGAAATAAGATGTCTGGGATTTGCTGTAAAATAATGCAGTGAGGGAGGGAGAAAATGTAAATGAGACAAGAT